TTCCATTTTGAAAAACATACATCAAATGTATATATCTAGTCGAATAACATGAAAAACATTCACGAATTGTTTTTCTAAATACCAAGGGTATAGTCTTGATTATTTTAGTGATTTTTTTCAAGCACGCAAAAAAGTGCGAATTGTAATGCAAAATTAAATGTCAAATCTGCAAGTGTGTATGTATTTGTTGGGAAAAAGAGTATGTCTACAAATATTAGGAATATAATGAAATATATATATATATATGTATCTTAAAATTTTTCATGAAAATACAACGTTATTTGCACATTTAAAAAAATCAATTTAAAATATATAGTCTGTATTTTCTTATTGAAACCCCTAGAAACCGAGTTTCGATACCCGTGGTGGGCAGAGCATAGATAGCCCGTTGTGTAGCTTTGTGCTTAATTTTTAACAAGCTCGTGGTTTTTATGTCTTTCTGCAGGAAAGATATACTCTATTTGTTTTTAAGTTTTTTATCTTGAAACTCCTCCCCTCGCCTTGATATTCTGTTAAACATTTTTCATCTTCAAACACCCCTCGCCTTGATATTCTGTTAAACATTTTTCATCTTCAAACTCCCCTCGCCTTGATATTCTGTTAAACATTTTTCATCTTTAAACTCCCTTCGCCTTGATATTCTGTTAAACATTTTTCATCTTGAAACTCCCCTCGCCTTGATATTCTGTTAAGCATTTCTCCATTTTGAAATGTAATTTTCTTCTGTCAGAAAGATACACCTGATTGGGTTTTTTCTACCAAAACTACCAAGTCTTAGGCTTGGGGATTTTATCAAAATGTTGTCTTCCTTCAATTGTAATTTACTTTTGAATAAAGAAAAACTCCATTAGAACTTTTGATAAATAGCAACGTTTAACCAAAATTCTTAAATCTTGAAATTTATGGTGCTTTGGTTGCTTTTTTAATCCCAGTTCTATCCATCTTCAACATTATGTGGAAAGAAAACCCGCTTTAGGTTTTTTGGAATGACATATATTTTTCATTGAACTCCCAAAGTTGAAGTCTTTGTGGTTTAATCGAAATCTAGACCATTGGAGATGATCAGGCGGTTAGTGCACTCGACTCGCAATTTACGGGTCACGGGTTTGAATCCCCATCCCACCAAACATGTTCGCCCTTTCAGCCGTGGGGACGTTATAATGTGACGGTCACTCCCACTATTCGTTGGTAAAAGAGTAGCCCATAGTTGGCGGTTGGTGGTGATGACTAGCTGCCTTCCCTCTAGTCATTCACTGCTAAATTAGGGACGGATAGCGCAGATAGCCCTCGTGTAGCTTTGCGCGAAATTCATACCAAACCATCGGAGATTTTAGCTCTTGTTTTCCTTCTTCTTTTTGCATTAAAATGCATTTTTAGTCTTATTTGTAGGTTTCAAAATATCACTTTTTCTAGTACATTCCCAAAACTTGATCTGAGATAATTCTGTCACAATTTTTTCCATCTTAAATTCCCTCCCCTTTCCCAGTGAGCTTATAACGCGAAAAATCGGGTTTCGATACCAGCAGTGTACAAAACACACACTCACAACCCATTGTGTAGTTTTGTGCTTTACAGCAAATAGACAAACCATCTTAAATTTTACTTAAGGGTTTATACATATACATATTTATACATATACATATACAGTTTATACATATTGAGGTGTTATTTAGCTACAATTTATCTTTCCTATTTAATATTATGCTCTCTATAAGGGGACGCTTCTGTAGATATTGTCGAAAGTATGGTAATAGCTTTTAACTTACGATAGGTTTATACTTAGTAACATTAATAATTTAGTAAGATTTGTGAAGGCCTAGAATACGGAAAAAATCCTTTTTATTTCATAACTATGAGGTTCAATGACAAAGAAATATTTCCAGTAGCTTTTGGGAAAGCAGATAAAGAGGGACGCCTCAATCATAAAGTTCGCGGATTTAGAGATAGTAGGTGTAGGCTTTCATTTCATTTCAATTTTTCAGGCGTTGTTTACCGAGACTAATGATCTTTTAGTTTATTATGTACTACGGAATTAAAAAACAAATGCATGAAGCATTTACACTAGTTTGAAGCAGATAAACTGTTTTTCTTGGATGGGGAAAGAAATGTGTTCATAATTTTTCTCATCACTGCAACTTGCAATACATAATATTATTATTATCAATAAATGCTATTATTTCTTTACAACTGGGTGAGGAAGAATAGTTTTTAAAGAGGTACGACATTTCGAAATAAGATCACTGTTGTGAAATATCTGAAGTACACCAGTGATCTAAACATCATATATGCTTTTAAAAATATTCTTTCTTACTGTAATTTAGTGTAAAAGCTGTAACTTATATAACAAAATAATACTTATAATTAGTAAGTAAACTCGAGATGAAACTATTAATAATAAACTCTAATTTAAAAGTACTATGGTGAAAGCTAAGATTTTCTTCATTATTTGTAGTGTAAAGTAAGGATTTTTACATTGTTGTAATACTTAGCCTGAAGGCTAGGTTGGGCAAATGTTAATGAATTACTTTGTCACATTATATTTTTCAACAGTTCCCAATAACTATTAAGACACTGAGATGGTGCAAAATACTGTAGACTATTTTAGCTTAAATATAAATAAAATATTTTAAGATTAAATTATAAAGAAATCCATAGGATTTCTAACCTGTCAAAGGATTTTAATTCTCTTTATTTACATGTTTTACTTAACTGAAGACATTTGTACTTTGGCAACTTGTTTGAACAAAATTATTTTCACATTAGTTTTTTCGATGATATGCTGCTTAAGTATGTTAAGAAATAAAAGTAAATCATAAAACTATATTCAAAGATGAAACTGATAATAAATTAGCTGTTATTATTAATTATGTAGGCTGTTTAAGCTTATGTAATAATTACCAATAAGTAAAATTTTTATACACCTCAATACGTAAAAAATAGTAGTGATAGTATGGGAAGTTTGTTAATTCACAAAAAAAAGGTAATTTATTAAACTTCACTAGTGTAGCCTGGGTTAGAAAAGATCTGTTATTGTTTTTCTATTTTCTTTTGCAGTCAATTTGATTACTTTGTTTGTAGGTTATTCCAAAATAGCTTCAACAAAAATTAATTCAAAACAGCCTTGCATTATTAAAAGCACAGCAAGGAAAGAATATATATATATTTTATGGATTTCACATACTTATCATTACAAACTTTAAGGATTCCACCACCTTGCTGCTCCTGCAGTCTTTCTTTACTATACCATAACACATTTTCTGTTTGCTAATTTATTGTAACATTGATATTTTCTGCCATATGCCATCTTCTTATGCCAATTCTTTGATTGATTGTATCATCATATTGGTTATGAAGTATTGATAATTATGAATAATAATTTTTCATATACATCATATCTTATCTGATAACTCAAAGCTTTTATTATTTTTTTCAGAACTAAATCAATGTTTCTTGAGTCAAAACACTCACCTTAGGACATCCATCACGACTGTGGTATTTGATTTTGTATGTTTGTACTTAAGCACGAAGCTACATAATGGGTTGTCTGTGCTGTGCCCACCATAAGTATCTAAACCATGGTATTTGAACACCTTTTTTTATTCATAATTTCACTGAAATTACAACACAACTTGGGGAATCACTTGTCAGCCAAAAATTGATCAGAATTGGGTTCCATATTTAACATTTTCTGTATTTTGTTATCTGAACCACCAGTATATTTTTATTCCTATGTGTTTCAGGTTTTACAGATTTTGTGAACAAATTATAAAATACATAATGAAAGTTATCAGTAAATGAATTCCAATCAGTGGCTATGGGATTCTACACATCGTATGAGCGCACAAATAACTATGCTTACCTGAAGTGAGGCAAAAGTTAATGATGTTATGTAAACTTCATGCTTTCTATAGAACTGTATATGGTTACAGTGAATAATTTTCACTTTTAGCTTAGTTCTTCTATCACACAAGTACTACTGGAAATAAGAATAGTGAGGAAGAAGAATATAAAAGACAAATGCTGTAGAATGTCTCCACTTTATCATGAGAAAATGAACTTCAGCAGAATATAGTTATGTATTGATACAGCTATAACTTACTCTGTGATTGGTTGTTATTCAACTAATCAGGAAGTGTCATACCAGTATAAAGCCTTTAAAAACACAGGCAGTCATTATGCCCTGCAATCCCAGGAATGAAAAACAACCCGACACACTGTACAGAAATGAAAGATATGGCTGATCGAGTAATAATTGCTGGAAAACTCCATGTTTTAATAGGATCTATGTGCAAAACTTTAAAGAGGATGGATGAAATTGGCACTGTTAATAAAAGTTGTTGAGTTAGAAACTCTCAAAACACGATGTTAAGTAACTCAGGATATTTACTTTATAATGTTGATGTAAATACAGGTTTGAATGTTACCTCAAGAACAGTAAGGTATTTGTTCACACCAAGTGGTCTTAATGGGTGTGTAACTGGCCAAACGTAACTGCTAAGAAGAGTTATCCAAAAGGTTGAACTGGGCATCAAACTTCTGACAGTATAATTAGAAAATCTGGATACATGTGTTCTTTAGAGACGAATCCAAGTTCAATTGGTCTTTTTTTTTATGATGGAAGAGAGAATGGTATTATAGTTAATGTAGAGTGAAGTATGATGGGTTACATCCCAGCCTGTGGTACTAGTGATCGACACAACAATTGGTGACATCCTAACTGCTGACAAGTACACTCAGATTCTGATCCATTATGCCATTCTCTCCAAAATGTGACTCGTTGGGTGGAGATTCGTGTTCTAGCAAAACAATGATCCCATGCTTACAACAGAGGTGGTAAAACAATATTTGAATTGTACAAAAGATTATGGAACACCCACAACCATAGATTATCCAGCACAAAATCACAGTATGAACATTCTTGAGGCTATATGGACTTATGTAAAAACTAAAGATCAAAAGATGATCAAACAATCTGAATGAATTATACGTAATAACAGAGGACAGTTGAAAAGAGTATTCCACAACTATTCAATGATAAACTGCATCGCAGCATGAAAATGTTATATTTGTTTCTGTACTATTTATATTACTGTTTTATAAAATGAATTAATGTTTCATCTCATTAAAAAAGTAAACACGGCTTCTTTTTTTTTTTTTGCTTAAGTAAATTTTTACTTATTGTCATGATAGATCTGCTACAGATATGTCTGTAAAAAAAGTAACTTTCAGATTTTGTAAAGTAACACACGTATCTATCGCACTTGAAAAGGTATATACCTAAAACAATGTGTATAAGTTTTCTTGTTCTTGTTTTCAGGTTACAAAGAAAGATGGTTCAAGCTGAAAGGAAACTTACTGTTTTACTTCAAAGTGAATGAGTTTGGTGCTGTTATTGAAAAGGAGGTTAGGAAGTGGGTTATGGCTTAATAAAGTACCTGTGTAGTAACATTATCCTAAATATATTGGTGTATCAAGTGGGTTGTGGGTTAATAAAGTATCTATACAGTAATATTATCCTAAATATATTGGTGTATCAAGTGGTTTGTGGGTTAATAAAGTATCTGTACAGTAATAATATCCTAAATATATTGGTGTATCAAGTGGGTTGTGGGTTAATAAAGTATCTATACAGTAATATTGTATCAAGTGGTTTGTGGGTTAATAAAGTATCTATACAATAATATTATCCTAAATATATTGGTGTATCAAGTGGTTTGTGGGTTAATAAAGTATCTGTACAGTAATAATATCCTAAATATATTGGTGAATCATTTTGTTACTAGTGAAATAGTTCATAATACTTTGTGTAAATCAGATTGTAGTAAATAAATAAAAGAGCAATGTTTTGCTCATGGAGTGAATGTATACATATTGAGAAAATTAAATTTTTTTAATAGAATCATTAAAAAGCCACAGCAGTGATTATTTGAGCCTTAGCATTGGTTGTTTATACCATTTATGTGCTAGCATGTAATTTTTTTACTTGGATATTTGTCTTCCTAAAAAGTCACAAGATAGTTTTATTTGAATATTTTTTTCTGTTTTTATCAACACAATAAGTATGTATTTAGTCAACTAACGAAATGTATTTCCTAAAATCTTGCAAGACTCCTTGTTGTACCTACATATGTTTAGTAAACTAACAGAATATCTTTCCTTAACAGCCCGCAGGACTGTTTGTTATAGAACAGTGTAAAGTGGAACATGAAACTTTGAGTGACTTACCTTTCTGCTTCTCCATAAGTAAGTGATTACATTCTAAAAATGATACATTTGATTTGGAGCATGACTGTCTTTGTAAGAAAAAGTTAGAAAATGTACTTATATTTACAAAACATTAGCTAGAATATATTAAGTGACTTAGTTTTCACTTTGGCAAAAGGAAGTGTACACTATTGTTGTTTCTAGAGTCATGTAGTAGAGACAAATGTGTTTTTGATATTTTATAAATAAATAACAAGTATTTTCAGTTGAAGCCAAGCCATACCATCACCTGTAACCCTTTATAAAGGTGAAAACCATAACATCAAGAGATAAACAACTTTTATCTCATCAAGTGTTTACAGTTATCACTTTAGAGGTAAAGATGTTAGCCAAGTGTTTACTGTTGTCACTTTAGAGGTAAAGATGTTAGCCAAGTGTTTACTGTTGTCACTTTAGAGGTAAAGATGTTAGCCAAGTGTTTACTGTTGTC